AAGGTCTGTTGGTTGACAAAGTACATGTTAGTGCATCCACAGACCCAGACACCTGCTGCCCAAGCTTGCTCAGGACTGTTGTCCGACTTGCTCTGCTTTCCATCCTCTGACAAGGCAGCTGACATGCCCTGTTAGCCTAAATGAGCTGGCTGTCATGTTCCCCACATGCATCTGAGCATGATGTCCACTACATGGGCATCAGCAACTGAGGAGGCCGTCTTGATATATGCACTCCAAGGTTGTACCACATAGTCTGTGATTTTCCTTGCGGCTGGAGTTTGAGTCCAGCAGTCTAGTTGGAGAGTCCCCCAAGAAACCTTACTTGGGATGACATCTCAGATCTGACTCCTGTGTGCACCAGCCATTGCAGGGTGTGGTTCAATCCAACACCTGCATCAGCCAACACACATACTGATGGATGTAGCTGTCTGGTCAGTTCTACCCCCAGTCTCCTATATAAACTGACAGGTGCTGTGGGCTAACCCAATCCAGCTCACCACAAACCCAACATACCATGGGAACTGCAACAAAGTCAGGGCAACCCCCAATAACCCCAACCAGACCTGTCCCCATCCCTGATTCCTGTGCATGCTAGCATGTGCAAGAGACTAATCCAGCTCCTCCTGTATCCTATCTGGATGTTACACACCATCCATGAATGCTGCAGCTTAGCTGAGCCCAACCCACCCCTGTACCCAGTCCCCATGTATGCCTATGGCTGCTGCTACCTTGTATACCCTGGCCTGCCCCCAGCCCTAGCTCTCATCCTCACCAGCAGGAGCTTCAGCCAAGCAAAGGAATAACCCACAGTTTCTCTACTAGGCCCATTCCCAGCCCTGAATCTTCCACTTTCTTGGGGCACTGGGTCCAGACTGACATGACTTGCACCCATTCTCAGCACTTGCCAGTAGATGCTGCAACAAAGCTCTCCAGCTTGCACTTACTCTGGTTCTTCGATGTGCCAACAGAATAGGCATTGGAATAGCCTAGCCCAGCACTCCCTGTATGCCAGCTTGCATGTAGGCCAATGGCAGTTGCAGCTCTTTCTAGTCTGGTCTGCCCCAAGTCCCAGCTCAGATTCTTACCCGTGGGAGCACTGGTTAGCAAGGGACTTCCTGAAGCTCCCCTACCAGGGTTGGCCTCAGCCCAAGGTCTTGTGTGTGCTGGTAGGTGCTGTGGTCCAGTCCGACATGGCCTGCCTGCAATCCCAACATTCACCAACAGGTACTGCAGCCTTTTCTGAATGGCCCACCCCAGTTCTGGCTCATTGGCAGGGCCCAACTGCTTGAGCTGTCACCTGCTGAAGGAACCCAGGATGGCACTAGGATTTGAGCCCAGGCACTTGAATATGGGATATAAGTATCTAAAGAGGCATTCAAACTGCTATACCCACACCCACTGCATTCACATCTCTACTGAAGAACATTGAATGGGGAAAGGATATGCCCAAAGTATCCATTCTCTGAGGACCAATTCTTTTTTAAAGATTTATTTATTTTTATTACAAAGTCAGATATACAGAGAGGAGGAGAGATAGAGAGGAAGATCTTCCGTCCGATGATTCACTCCCCAAGTGGCCACAACAGCCAGAGCTGAGCCAATCTGAAGTTGGGAACCAGGAAGCTCTTCTGGGTCTCCCACAAAGGTGTAGGGTCCCAAAGCTTTGGGCCATCCTCGACTGCTTTCCCAGGCCATGAGTAGGGAGCTGGAAGTGAGGCTGCTGGGATTAGAATTGGCACCCATATGGGATCCCATCACATGCAAGATGAGAACTTTAGGTGCTAGGCTACTGCGCTGGGCCTGGGGAATTCTCTTCCAAAAAGTAAAAGGGAAATATACAGGTGGGAGATTCCACAGGCCAGAGATCATGTCCACTACAATACTGACCTCATTTACTTTTTTCCTGTTATTTATAAAGTATTAAATATTAAATTATTATTTCAATAAATAATTAAAATATTTATTTTTCTTTGAAAGGCGCATTTACAGAGAGGGATTGAGAGAGAGAGATATTTCATCCACTGATTCACTTCCCAAATAGTTGCAATGGCCGCAGCTGAGCCGATCTGAAGCCAGGGGGCAGGAGCTTCTTCTGGGTCTCGCATGCGGGTGCAGGATCCCAAGGCTTTGGGCTGCCCTCCACTTCTTTCCCAGGCCACAAGCAGGGAGCTGGAGGAAAGTGGAGCAGCTGTTAAATGAACCTGTGCCCCTACTTCGCCACAATGTCAATCTGCCTATGTCATTCCTGATTGCAATTAAGCAGCATGGCTGACTTGATTGTGTTTGAAGGCATTCTGTTCTCAGACCTTCTTGGTATATTCAATTACCATGTTTCTGACAGCAGAGAACACTCTGGACTAATGACTGACCAGACAGTGGGTTAGGGACAAAATGTTCTGAGTGCCCTGAGTGTTTCTGATCCAGCTCCCAGTTAATGTACCTGGAAAGCAGGTGATCACTCGGGTGTCTGAGTGCTGCTGTCCACGTGGAAGTCCCGGAAGCAGTTCCAGGCTCCTGGCTTAAGCCTGGCCCAGCCTTACCTGCTACAGTCATTTGGGGGCGTGAATCAGCAGTTAAAAGAAAGCTAATTCCCTGTCACTCTGATTTTCATAGAAGTAAAATAGCCTTATTTATTTATTTGAAACTGTGACTGGGAGGGAGAGAGCTTATTTAAATAAAATTTTTTTAGAGAAGTATTTTCTTTTAAAAAAAAAGATTTAAAACATTTATTTTATTAGAAAGTCAAATATACAGACAGGAGGAGAGATAAAGAAGATCTTCCGTGCGGTGATTCACTCCCCAAGCGACGACAGCACCCAGAACTGGACCAGTCTGAAACCAGGAGCCAGGACTTGGTTGGGTGCAGGGGCCTGAGGACTTGGCAGTCTGCTGCTTTTGCAGGCCATTAGCAGGGAGCTGTATTGCAAGCTGAGCAGCTGGGACTTGAACCTGCATGCTTATGGGACGTTGGTGCCACAGTGGGGGAGGCTTCACGTGCTTTCCCATAGTGCTGGACCCACAATCAACTGTTCAAGTATTTTAAAAAATAATAGCTGGGGTAGTATGTGTTGTAGTACAGTGGGCTTAGCTACCATTTGGGATGCCTGAACACCATGTTAGAATGCCTGGGATTGAGTCCTGTCTCTACTTTTTATCCAGTTTCCTGTTGCTGTGTACCTGGGTTGGCAGCCCAAGTACTTAGGCCTCAGCCAGGCACGTAGGAGAGCCAGATGGCGTTCCTGGCTTCTGCTGGGGCCAGGCCCAGCATTTGAATGCATTTGGGGAGTGAATCATCACAGGGAAGATCTGTCTTTCTCCCTCTGCCTTCCAAATAAATATTTAACCTTGGAGGTAGGGTGTGATGGGTGGGAAAGGACTGGTGTATGCCTACATGTGTTTGTGTGCCTACCATGGGTCTGCCCAGGTTTTCCTGTGATCATGACCTTCAGTACAATTTCATTCCCATTGTACTACATGTCTTCCAAGTAATTCATGAAAACATTCTATTTAATGCTTCTGGAAGCAGTTACTCCTGGGTTCAAATCACCATGGAGCCACTGACAAGCTATCTGACTTTGGCAAGTTACTTAACTCCCTGAGCCTCGTGTTCCTGATCCACTGAGGTCCAAGCTTCAGCTTTGCCACTGAAGGTGGCACTGTAAACAAATCATTGGACCTGTACCTCTTTTTTTTTTTTTTTCCTGTAAAACAGTACTTGCCTCTGAATTCAGAGAAACAACCCACTTAGGGACCAGAGTCCTGCAGGGATGAGCACCGGTTAGAATTCTGGCTGTTCCACTTCCGATCCAGCTCTCTGCTCAGGGCCTGGGAAAGCAGCCAATGATGGCCCAAGGCCTTGAGACCCTGCATCTGTGTGGGAGATCTGGAAGAAGCTCCTGGCTCCTGGCTCCTGGCTGGCCCAATTCTGACCATTGTGGCCATTTGGGGAGTGAACCAGCAGATGGAAGAACTCTCTCTCTGTCTCCCATTTTCTCTGTAACTCTACCTTTCCAATAAAAAGAAATCATCAAAAAAAAAAAAAAAAAAAACCCATGAAAAGCTCTTAACACAGTGCCGTACACAGACATCTTCCTCCCCAAATCTGTAGCTGTTACTGTTCCTTGAACACACCGAGTTTGCGATGCTCGTTCCCTGTCCTCCACTTGCAGGACAACTAGGAGTCCAGGAGGGCTGAAGTGCTTCGGGGAAGGAGGGAGGCTAGTGGGAGAGGAAGCTGAGAGCCCTGGCCGCGGACTCGGGTGGGCGATCTGTTTCTCCAACTGTGAACCTCACCAGGCCAGGAGAACCCATGCGACCAGCGAGGGCTCTGCACCCCGTAATCCCTCGGTATCCTGGATCGCCGCCTTTTTTCTCTGCTGTCGTGTAGGGTTTGGTCACGACAGGGCCGAGCAGAGGAACTCCAGGAAGCGCATGGCTTTGGGCAGCCGGAGACGGGCCACACCCAGATCGAAGGCAAAGGCCCGAGAGCCTACAGCTAGTTCTATCGTAAAATTCCTGGATTCTGTCACGATGAAACACTGCCCGAGGCCGAACCCAGTACCGTTCTCTGTCTCCATCTTTAGAATTCAAAGAATGAGAGCTGGCCAGAGGGGAATCCTGGTTTGGGGAGACTAGGGTACGGCGGCTGCCTGGGGACCAAAACGTCTCTAAGGTAAAGTTGCAGCCTGAAGCGATTTTTTGACCCCCGACACTTAATGGGCTGTGGAAGACCCGGATGTGTCTGGGACTGGCCGAGGTACCCATTAACGCGCCCCCGCTAGACCATCCCCCTTCTCCGTTCAGGATTGGACCTCGCGAACGCCAATCAACACTTCTCCAGCCAATCACTCCTCAAGGGTGGGGTGAAGTCCCGGCATCCCGTCTGGTATTGGCACGGCTGAGAAAAGGAGGGCGGGGTGGCCGGCTTGGGTCACCCAATGGGCGTCGTGGCGTGTGGGTGAGGCGGAGCCGAGGCGCTTGGCAGCTGCCCAATCAGCGTCCTTGTTTGTGTGGTGCCGCCGCCGCCGGTGCAGCCGCCGCCGCCGCCGCTGCCCCCGTCTGTACCGCAGTGTCTGCTCCGCCCGCCCGGCCCGGCCCGGCCCGCCCCCCTCCCCCACCCCCGCCCCCGGTCCCGTCAGCGGGGTCCGGAGCCCCCACTGTGCCGTCGCCGCTGCCTTCTTCGACGCCTCCGTCGCCGCCCGAGCAGGCGAGCTCGCCGGGGAGGAACACCGCCACCGCCAGGTGAGGAGCTCCGGCCTAGGCCAGCCTGGCCGGCCGCCCGCCCGCCCGCCCGCACGCCCGGGGGTGGGTGGCGAGCAGCGACGGAGGGAGGGAGGCAGGCGGGCGGGCGGGCGGGCCGGCTGGGAGGAGACGCTGGTGGCGGAGGTGGGGGAAGGGAAAGGTGGCGGGGCGGCGGGGGGAGGGGAAGCGCCCGCGAGCCGACGCCCGCCCGCGCGCCCCCGCTCGCGCCCCCTCCCCCGCCCGCGCGCCCCCGCTCGCGCGCCCCTTCACCCCGTCCCCTCCCCCGCGCCGCGCGCGCCCCGGGCTCTCCCTTCGGCCTTGCGCGCCCCCAGCTCGGGTCCCTTCATTTCTTCTTTTTTTTTTTTTTTTTACTCTTCTCTCTCCTCTCCTCCTTCGCGCCCGGGTTCCCCCGCCATCCCCGCTTTCACTCACTGCCTCATGCCCGCCATGCTCCCCTCCTTTTTCTCTCTAGTGCGCCCCTCCCTTATTATTATTGTTTTTTAACTCTCTCCACCTCCCCCCAAGTGGTGCCCTTAGGGTGCGGGGGCCGCTCCCCGCGCTCGGTGTTGTGTTTGCCGGCAGATGGGACCCACGGGGTGTGTTGGGAGTGTGGGGGGATCCCGAAGGGTGAAGGCGGCGCGGGATCAGGAGCGCAGAACCACCTCACGCCTTTATTCCGTCCTCGCCCCCCGGGTCCCTCGCTCTCCTAGAAGGAGCAGAAGGAATTGTCTGCGCCCGGCTGGCTACTTCCCGTGGGTGGCGACTGCGCCGGCCCCTTCCCTCGGCGGGGTGGCGGGGGGTGCACCCTGGATCTGGCTGCTAGTTCAGCGCCTCGGGGTTAGCCTTCCCTCACCAAGCCGGGACTGAAAGTACTTTCTGCCTCCCCGCTCCCTCTTTCTGATTAACCCGAGTGAAGGTGCCCCTGCGAGTGCAAAGGTGCAGGTGTTCCCCGTTTCGGGGGCTTTGGGTGAGCTTTCCTCCTTCGGGAAGGACTGGGAGGCTCTTGGGAACCGGCTCCAGCAGCCACTTCCCTCCAAAGACGCTCGGGCTGGCGCGGAGGTGGAGCTGGAGGAGGCCTCGGTGATGAGTGGCCTGCGGGGCCACCTGAGCTGGTTGTCAGGCCGGGCCCTTCCCGGCTGCTGGAGAAGCGGGGAGAGTCGGTCTTCTCCTCTGGTCGTGTGTATGTGTGTGTGTGTGGTGATACTTGATACATTCCAGCAAAGCTTCAGAAAGAGCAGTGTTTCCAGGTCAAACTGCAAAAAGAAGAGTTCAGCCTTGTGGTTGTTGAAGAACTGGTGCTTTGGTGGTGTTTAGGACATTTTCTCATTCCCCAAATCTGTGTTTGAATAGACAGTGGGTGCCTGTGGTGCTACGTAGGAACCCCTCACCTCTGCCTGCATGCCTTCCCTGCCCCAGCACACAGGTCATCCTGCGGCAGCCGAGGCAGCCTGGTGTCCATCGGTGTTTATACCTTGCTGATGAGCCTGTTTGGGGATTAAGAACTTCATTGCATTTTCTTTGATACATTGATCCAAGCTCTTCCTTGAAGACTGGTAACTTGGTTTCCTGCCTTAGGTGCTGGGCGGGTCTTGATACAGTAGTATCCTAGAGAAGCTTTTGGCAGCCCCGGGTTAAGAAAGAGGCTACTTCTGGAGAACCCCGGGGGTTCTTGGGGGGAAGGTGGTTACCTCTTGGAAATGATGCTGTGTTTTTTTGTGACAGCTGTTCATCCACGGCTGTTTGGGGATGGGCTGGGTCAGCTAGGTTAATTAGCTTTATAAGCAAATTGGTTGTAAGAATAACTAGTTAATGGGAGTACTTAGCTCCGGATGGGCTGTCCCTGTCGGTTTTTTTAGAGAAATAGTTTTCAGTCCTGTGGTTTTCAGTCTCGTGGCAGTGGTAGTCCTTGTAGAACAAAGTAGATTGGTACTGACAGGACTCAGAAGTCCAGAACTGTAGGCTGAAGGACCCAGTTTGAGAAGAATGAGGCTTACCAACTTTTGTCCTCTGCATTGGTGAGAACATTTATGACGAGGGGAGTGGTCTGTAGCTGACAACAGCATCCATCTTTATGACAGTGTGGTTTGCCTTCCCTGACTGTGTGTAATGTCTGTTAACTTCCTGTCGAGAGAAGGTTCCTACAGGGGTTGAGTAGGGTTCCACGCCAATACTTGTCTAGGAAAGTGTTAACCCGACTCCTTGATCAGTGTAAGTCCAGGCAGTGTCGTTTACAGCTGTGTGATAAGAGAGGGAGGTGTGGGGAGTTTTTTCTCGAACTTCACAGCTTTAAAATACTTTGAAGAGTCTGTTTGCTGTCCAGTCCTTGTTAAGATTTTTTTCTCTTCTCAGTGTTATTCGTGTATTTGGTTCAGGCTGGGTCAGGCTCCAGGTAGGGTTTGGACTGTTGGACAGCAGAGAGGAAAAGGTGTCAGTGGGTAAAGGTATCCCAGTCGTGCTGGGACCTGGGGTTCATCCTACCTGGAAGCAGTGAGTCCTTATTTTGCATGTAAAGCACACCTCTTATTTCAGTCTATTAATTTGTTAATTCAGTTAATTTTCGTTTCTTAATTCTTCCTTTCCTCCTAAACCTGCCAAGCTGGAGATGCATGCATGGGGCAGCAGCAGGGCTGTCCTGGTGTCTGGGCCCCGAGCATGTTCTGTGGTAGCCACGCCGCTGGGAGTTGTGTTGCCCGCAGCCCCTCTGCACTTCTGGCAGGAGGCTGGTGTGGCTGCCCTCGTCGAGCCAAGCCAAGCCACCTTTGGTTGATTGTGACAACTATTCAGAGAGTCGTGAAATGTGAGCTGTAATTGGGACTGAGAGGTCGAGGGACTTCTTTTCTAGACTTGTGCATTGCTTATTGAAGTGCTGCTTCATTACATGTCAAGGCAGAACAACCAGGCATTTTCTGAGGTTGTTTGGAGGGGGAAGGAAAAAAGACACACACCCACTGGAAACCTAGTCCTGGTGTAAAGATGTCAGTCAGTCCACCTTTTGCTAAGGGAAAAATCCAACCTATCAGACAGTGCCACACAAAGTTGCAGTTCCCCTGCTGTTGGTTAACCCTGGGTAAAGATATATAAGGAAGTTCTGTTTCTGTTGAAAAGGATTGGTTTTTTGGGAGAAAGCTGATAGCCATGTTGTCTGGTTCCTGCTCTGTCGTCTCTGAAGCTTTTCCTAGGACAGTGATTGGGGGTTTAGGAGGCTCTAGAAAAAGCAAAGCATCTCCTCTTCATGTGTAGTAGTGGTGACTGCCTCTGAGAACAGGCCTGGCTGGAAGTGGACCTTCTCAGAGTCATCTTCTGCCTTTATCCTGTGGCTCTATGAAGTGTTCTAGACTAGAGCATACTCTGCGTTGGCTGCCCCACTGGGACTCATGCTGACGTGTAGCCTCTCTGTGCTCAGAGAGCTCCTGTTGCTTTCTGTGAAGGGTATACCAGCTGTAGTTGATTAACATTCATCCAGTAGGAGGGGGAGGGATGTCAGTAGACCCTAACCTGAGATACTTAGATGGGGCCTCAGTAATGTTTTGTATCTCCCACAAAACTCCCTAACCTGCTATAAATTGCTGTCAACTGGCAGGAAGCTTAAAAGAGTTTGAGTTGGTAGCACCAGATGAAACAGATGAATAGGAACATACATTTTGTAAGTTGCTACTTTTGAGATGTGAAACGGTCAAACCCCAGACCTCAGAGGGTCACAGTAATTGCAGAAGTGCCTTTCACGATATATGGACTTTTGGGGGGGATTTAATTATGTGTGTGTGGGTTTCTTTTTGAAGATTTATTTGTATTGGGAAGTCAGATACACAAAGAGGAGGAGAGACAGAAAGATCTTCTATGTGCTGATCCACTCCCCAAGTGGCCACAAATGTCAGAGCTGAGCTTATCTGCAGCCAGGAGCCTCTTCTGGGTCTCCCATGTGGGTGCAGGGTCCCAACGCCTTGGGCTGTCCTCAACTGTTTTCCCAGGCCACAAGCAGGGAGCTGGATGGGAAGTGGACCTGCTGGGATTAGATCCTGGTACATGCAAGGTGAGGACTTCAGCCACTAGGCTACTGAGCTGGGCGCAATGTGTTTTGAGTCACAGGTAACAGAGAGAAGGACCTCTATTCACTGGTTTACTTGAGTCAGGCTGAGGCTACACACTTCTGAGCTGCTTTCAGGTTTTCCTTGTGGGTGACTGGTTCATCTTGAACCATTTGCTGTTGCTTTCCCAGGCCTTTACCAGAGAGCTGGATGGAAAGTGGAGCAGTGAGGGCATGAATTAGCACATAGGATGCCAGTGTCACAGGTGGTGGCTTGACTGGCTATGCCCTAGTGCTGGCTCACAAGACATTCTTTGGGTGCCTTTACTGCCTGAGTAGTATACATTTTTATTTATTTATTTTTCTAGAATTTATTTTTATCAAAAAGTCAGATATACAGAGAGGAGGAGAGACAGAGAGGAAGATCTTCCATCCGATGATTCACTCCCCAAGTGGCTGCAATGGCTGGTGCTGCACTGATCCGAAGCCAGGAGCCAGGAACTTCCTCCAGGTCTCCCATACGAGTGCAGGATCCCAAAGCTTCGGGCCGTCCTTGACTGCCTTCCCAGGCCACAAGCAAGGATCTGGATGGGAAGTGGAGCTGCTGGGACTAGAACCAGCGCCCATATGGGATCCCGGTGTGTTCAAGACGAGGACTTTAACTGCTACAATATTGTGCTGGGCCCTGGAAAGGCAGATTTACAGAGAGAAGTAGAGACTAAAGATTCTCCATCTACCAGCTCACTCCCCGAATGGCCACAAGGTCAGAGCTGAACCTGTCTGAATTCAGGAGCCAGGAGCTTCTTCTGGACTTCCCATATAGTTGTAGGGCCTGCCATTCTCTGCTACTTTCCCAGACCACAAGCACAAGTGGAGCTGCTGGGACATGAACCAATGCCCAAAGGGATACTGGTACTTACAGGTAGAGGATTATCCAATTTAACCATTATGCCAGCTGTGATTAATTTTTAAAATA